TGCGCCATCCAATGGACACAATTGGAACAGCAGTTTCTTTATTGAAAAATTGATGCTCATTTTTATACTTTACAAAATCATCGCATGGGCCAGATTAAACCCGTTTGCGGGCCTGATCCGGCCCGCGGGCCGTACGTTCGACACCCCTGCTCTAAACTGTAAACAGGCTCCACAGGCAATGTATGGAAGCACACACACCGAGTCAAAGCTAAGTGCTCCTCATTGATCATTAGCCTCTGCAGCCTGTGGTTTTGACCCAGTGTTTAGGTTTTGTTTTTTTCTTTTGTTGCAGTAAAATAAGTGCTGGCCAGAACTCCATTATATTTGGGCATGTTTAGACTTGCCATCTTCCCGAGGGCGAAAACATTACATCTGCATGAAGTCAGCACTTTTGTTCTATTCTGGCCTGTTTTGGCTCACATTCTGTATTTAAAACACGACTAAAGAACTATTTGCGACTGCAATGTGAGTGTCCCGCCACACGATAAACAGACATACACTTAATGGTCACTTTATTAGGTACAGCTGTTCAAAAGCGCAAGTTAACGCATATCTAAATCATCAATGGACTTATGTGTGCAGACATGGTCAACATGAAGAACTGGGTAAAGAAGTAAGCTGTGGCTAAGAGGAGAGGGCAGCTGTCACTAGCTAGATCCATTTTCACACAGCTTTTCAGTGTCAGTGTTGTGGAAGGAGAAATATCAAACAGTTAGCAGGAAGTTAGCTCGCTAGTTTCCACCTGTTTAGGTGGAAACTAGCGAGCTAACTTCATTGATGTACCATGTTCTGGGAGATTTCTGAACAAATTAAAACGTACAGCTCTGCTACCACTTCTAACATAAATGAAGGCCGAAAACTAAACAGCAATGACTTCTGTAGGGTTACTGAAGTTGGCCTAGCTGGTATATAATGATGTGCTACGTGATCGCTAGCGACACAGCTATGTTACCATAAGATTAGCACAGTGAAACCAGTGGATGAACGCTAACTTTTTCCCACTCGATAGAAGTTGGAGCAGCTGCGAGAGAATTCAACATTAATGAATCAATGGTACGGAAAAGAGGAAGCAAGAATATTGAGTAGAGTAAAGTTTGACTTATCTGACTGTTTTGTTTCGCTTAATGCACCTTATGTATGAAAACAGGCCCGTTATCGACAGTGAGCCTTTCGGCCCGAAAAATACGGTATACCCCGTGTCCTGCACTTAAACATTCATTTAATATCACGTACACATATACACATACCCCCAAGAAGACACTGAGAAAAAATAAAGAATAACATTGAGACTGTCTCTTTGCCATAAGTCATTGTTGATTTTGTGTCTTCACTCTCCATCCCCTGCCAAGCTGCACCTGTGATTCTGCGGCTGCTCGCTGATGAGCTGACAGATAAGTAGAGCTGGGCGATAGAACGATAACGATATGTATCGCGATATAACTTTTACTCGATAGAGAAATTAAGCTATCGCGATAGACCT